CTGAACCAAACAAAAACAAATATTGATTTGCATAAATTAGCTTTATTCGAATTCGTTATTTTCTTGTTACAGTTTTCTTCTCATCGGTATCATTAGTTGAAATGTACTGTACTAATTTCTATATCTAATCTTTAGGTCGGCCTCAATATCTACGGAATGCAGCAAATAGGCTACCTACAGAATTTCTGACCATTTGGGCCATAACGTCGATTACGTTTATAGTGTTTTATTAATTTACGCATTTTTATTATTAGGCTTAAAGTGGATGGGTGTGATTTGTGAATGAAAGTTATAGAGTTACAGGAAAAGTCGTGACGAATATTTCAGAACTCTCGGTCAAATTGGCTGAAATTTTAGAATATCTGATCTTAATAATCTTCCATTGCACTATGGACCTGAAGCCAACGGTTTTCGAATTACTAATGTAATCGGAAATGACTTGGGCTTATAACAGACACCAACGTGATTTTAGGATTTCCTTGTCCATTGATTAAAAATTTAGTAGCTCCTATAATGCCGATTCGACCTGTCTGCTGGATGTCTGCCGATTTTTACATTTTTTTACACATTTTTGGAAGTTTCTAATCAATGGCCAAAGAAATAAAATCATGTTGTGTCTGTCGTAAAACCATTTTTTCCGAATGTATTAAGCTTGAAAACCATATAGCTCAAACCGTTGATTTCATGCCCATAGAGCAATGGAGATTTTTGATCAGATCAGATGAAGAATAACGTACTATAATTATAGCCAATTTGACCGGGAATCATTTTCCATCAATATTTCGATGACTTGCGCACCCTATAACTTTAAGAAGTATTTTAATTATTTGATACCATCAAAAAATATGTAAATGTGTCTGAAAATCGGCAGACATCCAATAGATCTCGAAAACCGCTGTTGATTTTAAGAACATAGTGCAATGAAGACTTAACAGATTGATATGGAGAGCAATGTACTACTCAGCTAATTTGATCGGAAGTGATTTTCCATAAGGAATGCGCCATATAATAGTGCTCAAAAATCAACCGTACCTAAGATAAGTCATTTTTTATTATTTTTCAAATAATTTCGACTCTTATGCACTCGTTGATATTTTTCTTTCTAGTTGGATCTCTAGAGCTGGTAATTTTTGGAATTCTGGGAAACAGACGTATCACTCAATTATCAGCATCCAAAATAATTTGTAAAATTACCTTCTGGGCGAAGTGCGAGAAATAATTGTGTGATTTTTAGTATATTTATCGAGCATTTCCAATGCCACGCATGTTTCTCTCTAAAAAATGCTATGTAATTTTATGTTTGAAAAAATCAAAAACGTCTTTTTACATTTCCAAAAACGTATAACAGTTAAAGGATCTTTTGACAATTTTTTAGAAATACCAAGATCTTAATGATATCTAGTATCAGTCCACGATTGACCGTTATTTTGTCGTTTTTATGTGAAAAAGAAATTCAACAGTTTTGAGTTATATCAGATATTAGGCAAAACGTAACGTTTTAAATTTATCCTGAGATTTATCGCTTTAATTTTCAATATTTTCTACATTGACTCCTCAATTACTCATTAACAGTCCCCTCCATATTCTTAAAGCAGTTTTCAGCACTCCAGCTTTAAAGTCCTCATCAGATGCATCGGCATCGATTACTTTTGGTTTTAAAGTGTTTCCATTTGCTATTCCAACTATGTGATTAGCTTTTCATATACCATACAAAAAAAATTTATGGGCATTAAATGGAGACACCTGGCAATGGCATAGGTCCATCCCCCCAAGTACAGTTATGTGGCAGTTGACACTTGAATTTCACTGGTAATAATTATATATCGGCATGCTAGTTGCTCCAAACTATGACGAATTTTATTAGCTTGTTACGTAAGAATGTTTAAAAACAGCTAATCATTGGTTTAAACCATCGATTAAGGTATTCTACCTGAAGATAGCCAACCCTAATGCCATATTCGCCGTCCAAAATATTATACGAGATAAATGAGACCGTATAATATTTTATTTATAATAATACGTTAATCCATGGTTAAACTAGAAGTGGCGGTAATGGCCTGGTGTACAAGTTTCTTCTTGATATGAAAATATTCGCTGCTAAAATAGCAGCAAATAAGCTCGAAGTCGCCGAATGTTATAATGGACTAGTACTTGGATCGTAGAAATTTCCGGAGAATGTTCAACAGGTCTTTTAACTATTATATATTTTTTGAAAGCATAAAAGACGTAGAGTTGTTTTAATATATGTAATATACAAAATTTATATAGCATTTTTTGATAGAAACATTTTTGATGTTGAAAATACTCGATAAATATACTAGAAATTCCATATTTATAGTATCTATTTGCTGTTTAGCCCTATACGTAGTTGAACCAGTGATTACCGATAAATATTATCAACTGATTACCTGATGTCCATAATATCCAAAATTATCAGATCTAGAGACTCATCTAGGAAGAAAAAAAATCGAATTATTGCAAAAAAGTCAATATTTGTAGAGAAGTATTAAAAAGTAATTTGTCTCAAAAACAGTTGGTTTAGCTTTATAGGGAATGGCTTTTGACTAATAAAAAAATAGTCCAATGTAGACCTCATCATGTAGAATAAGGCTATCCATGGACTCGGAAGTTTTCCACGAGTAGTCTCCAAGTTAACAGTCCATTCCGTATTACATAGTATTATGGTCTCGGTACATGATATGTAACAGCTGTGCTTTGGAATACTTTTTTTCAAGAACTGTTAAGGTTTTCCATGGACCATCCATGTGGGAATACATTATATAGTGTAGGATGGGAGGGAGTCCTATGGATGTTTTAACGAATAAATAGTATGTGTTTTTGTGAAGTCACTTCTCTAGAGTAATTGAAGAAATGGCAAACTAGGTATCATCTGGAGACTAGAAGATATTTCCTTAGAAAAAATTCATGACTGATATTAAAGAGGTCGAGGTACTCGTTATCACACTTTAATTTTGTTTAACAAAACATATTTGTGGTGTATATCAATGATCCTCTGGAAGGGCCTATCTGAAAGTACATTAAAATATGAGACATTCAGTTCACAAAAATTTGACATAATTTGACAATATTTTTTATGGAATTTTTTCATGATAAGATTGATATATGAATTGAATGATTTGAAATATCTGTTACTGTTTCTTTCAGGTGTCGTTTCGCTATCACATATCTTGATTTGATCTATGGCAGTGCTCCTGATTTAAATATTATTCTACCGCCAACTAGCTTATACCGTAAATAGCTTTCTAAATCAACTTCTACCCTGCAATTATAAAATACTCGAAACGTAACTGCTAAAATAGATTATGATTACAACAGCAGTTAATAATGTTCCTTTGAGTGCAGTAAGTATAAACAGGATAAAAAATAGTAATGCTTGAACCCGAATTGATATACAGAGTGTTTTCTAACTACGCTAAGAAACTTCGGCGGGTCGTTTTAAGAAAAAAGTTCCTATGAACATATGTCCGTAGTTGCTTCGTTTCCGAGATACAGGGTGTTCAAGTTAAATAAAAAAAAATGTTTATAAGATATCACAAATATTTTTAAACCGATTTGATTGAAATTAGGTGCAATTATTTGATGTAATAAGTTGCTTATTTAGCTGTTATTAGATTCAAATTATTAGATCCAATAGCGTCTCAGTGGGCAACGCAGCCATATTATTGATAAAATAAGTACGCCATTGACTATTTTGCAGTTTTTATATTTTATGAGATTTAGCATCTATGTTTTCTTCACACCTAGCTTTGTTTTCGAGAAAAAAAAATAAAAACCACTTTGACTCATTTTTAAAATTATTCATGGAATATAAAATAAAAAACAAAAATTAACAATTTCGACCTTATCACTACAACTAATTACGGCAAATTTCAACCAAATCGGTTCAAGAATATTTATGATATTTTATAAATACCGTTTTTTCAAACCTCAATGCCCTGTATCTCAAAAGCGAAGCAACATTTCTTAAAACAACCTAACGAATCACCCTCTGAACTTTGATACTGTAGTTAGGAAACACCATGTACATTAAGCCTACTTTCGAGCGAGGCATATGCATCCCCTCGTCGACGCAGACAAGATTCGAGAAGTATTCCCCCTCTATAGTCCAGTTAAATAGCCGAAAATGAGACCAAAGTGATAACATAGCCACAAATTTATTTCCGCTGGCGTTATGGTGTAATAAAGGATTGCGAATATTGTTGTATGAATTTGTAAATCAGCGAAAAACCCGAAAAACCTCTTTTTCGCTGAAACGGCTGAGGATATCCGGGATTTTTTTACACGTAATTTTTCTAATTTTTGGGCCATCAAAAAAGGTCTCCACAAATTTTTCGCTAAATTGCTTAGTTTTCGCGCTACAGCTTGCTGATGGCTTGTTGGCGAGGGGTTTGCGGGGACAGAGGCGGCGTACCTGTATCCCACCAAGCTGCCGCCGCACCGCCCACGCGTTGACGACGTAGACGATCACTTATTATATGTTAGGGGTTATTCAGTAATAGTAGAGTTGAATTTCGAACTCTGAGCTCGGTTGTCAGTTTGGCGTTCACCGACTTTTACGAAAGAACTAATTTTCGAAGTTTACGCGTTTAAGTATGTGGAGTAATTTCTCTTCAATTGCTTGTCGATTGACTGGATAAGTGAGGTAAGTATGTGTACATTATAAAATTGAAGTTAAATATTTTTTCCGTAATTTCATTGGAGACAAGGAATTATGGACAAAGCCAACCTAAAATTCGAAAAGTTATCCGCCATGGATTTTTTTAATGAAATTTGTTTTCATTTTCCAATGTTAGTATCGTATTTTTTAGTAATAAGTAGTATCCAAATTCAGTATATGTTGTCCAAAATTCAGCATGTCTTGGAATTCCATTAACACTATGTTCTGATATTAATAACAAAAATCAGACTGACTGGATCGAAAATTGCATTACACTTACTGGATACCGATTCTCACTGAAATTGTTTCTTTTATTCAATAGAACTAAAATGCAGCAAAATAGTCTGCGCCATTTGCAGTTATCCGTTGATGCTCGGCAATTGCAGGATCGTGGGGAAGAAGGGAATAAGTACACTGATCACACAGAGCAAACGCGTGGAAGACAAAAAATGGTTGGATTGGGAAAAAAAGGGAAAACTGGACTGCCATGAGAAGTGTAGACTTTCATACTCGGTCAGTGGAACTTAGCATTTTGCGTTGAATGAACCAGATAACAATGTCGTAGCTGCAAGCGATGAGGTTCCTGATTTCCATTACGCGGATAATTGCTTCATTTGTGGTTTGAGTATAATAAAAGATGCGAAAACAAAAATCTGTACAGACACACAAAAAGAGACGCGTGATAACTTGATTGCAATGAGAAAGGAAAGAAATGACTCATTGGGAATTAGCGTTGTTGAAAGATTAGAGAACATTTCTTAATTCGCGTACAAGGCAGATATCACCGGACATGCATGTCTCATTTCAATGCATATGGTTCAAAAAAATATCGAAGATCTAAACTGATCTAGAATCGATTCATTGTTAGAACCTGTGTGGCAAGTTCTTGAAGAAGGACAAAAATGTCACTCATTATTTGGCGAAGTTAGTAGAACTTGTGAATGATGACTCTACAGATAGAAGGACTGTTGCAGATCACAATAAAAAACGTTACGGTGAGGAAGTTGAGTGCAGTATAATGGGGGAAAAAGATATACTTGTATGCTTCAAAAGTCATCATGTTTTTAATGTGTCAGAAGACCCATCAACTTTCACAGAAGGGCAGATACAACTTATTTTGCTTCAGGCCTCAAATATAATGCACAGAGAGATTCATAGCAAGCAATTTGTAAGCGATAAGTACCCACCGTCCAATCAATTTGTGAGAGATATTTCCTCCGATTATCCACTCCACTTTTCTTTCATTATTGAGCACTTTCTCCTTATCGCTGACGAAGAAGAAGATAAAAAAGCAAAGTCTGTGAAGCGAGACATGATATCTCAATGCATACTTTTATTCATTCAGCCACGTACGTTTTTGTCCACTCTCCACTTGTCGAGTGGGACATTGATTCTGGGAAAAACCGGTTCCCACCCAGATTGATCATCGAAAAACCTTTCATACAATTTGTATTTGATAATACTGACCACAACGTCAGGACCCTGGACGGGAGACTTTCCATTGTTTAGGCGGAATACAGGTTTACACTCTGGAGCACGAAATCACACAATGTGGAAAAACTTACTGAGATGCCTTCCGCAAATATCCTTGCAAAGCAAGAACAAACTCCAATCTTCCCTTACGTCGAGCCGCCAAAAGAGGGCTTGAAACTTATAGAATTCATCAATACAAATTTACTGACCATGGTCTACATGCCTCTATTCGCCCCTACTTATTCAACTTATTTGTGGGCTAAATACGTTGATCGTGTGAATTTACCAGCATGGCGAGATTTCATGGAGATATGTTCGGAAAATGAAAGTTTCCAAAGGTCGGGGGTGCAATGCCAACAATTCATTAACGAAGTTCCATCTAGTCTAATGACCATTTATACATCAATTATGCATGCAAAGAGCGAAACGCGTAAATATGGTCAAAAAACTACTATCTTAACTTACGACGTGTCGTTGTACATGAAATGTCGCGATATTATAGCGAAGTTAATGTTGCCCGACGTTTTTGTTCGCTTAGGCGGATTCCACATGTTAGTGTCTTTTTTGGGAGCAATAGGTATTATCATGGGAGGAAGCGGACTTGAATCTATGTGGGAGCTTGCTTACGCTAGAGAATCGATAAAGAAAATGATGGACGGGCACGATTATTCAAGAGCAGTCCGAGCACACATTTTGACGTTTACAGCTTTAGGCATCGTAATTTGTGATTCAATCGAAGAAAAATGCGAGATCAAAGGGGTTATCGCATCATTGATGCATGTCTGGCAGAAAAACCCTTTCAAGCTAGGGGACAGTGACTCTGACAAGGACCTGAAGAAAACGTCTGATTTGTTTTATACAAAGATGAAGCAATTGAAAAATAACGGCCCAACAGTTGTGGGTGCATTACATTGAAGCCGTGCTTATTGTCTTGCGCTTTATTGAAGCAGAACGTCTTGGAAACTGGGACCTTCATCTTGATTTGCGATCGAAGAATGTTGCCATTGTTTCAAGCCGCGGGACATTTTCAATACGCAAAAGCAGCTCAGATTTATTTGCATCATACGAGCGAGACCGTAGACAAGAAACAAATTGTGGCGTGGACGTTGACATTGAACCAGACAATCTCCTCCCATTGAACCAAAGGAAATTTTTGTCCAACGTGAAAAACACGGCTCAATTTGTTTATCACCTTGGTCAAACTCTTGCAACATATGAGGGATTCAGTTTTACCGTGATCCATGCGAAAGAGGATGCGGATGTCGAGATTGTGAGAACAGCTCTGAAGACTCATAACGAATTGTTTCGTCAAGGGAAATCACGAGTTATAGTCGTCGGCTTGGATGTTGATCTCTTAATATTACTTATTGGACTTACTTCAACCTCAGAGAGCATGTACTATTACAAGATGGGCCAGGGGGGCAAGGCGAACCAATTGTACGATACTCGGCATCACAAACATTTGCAACCATTTCTACTTTTTGCTCATGCCTTTGCGGGCTGCGACACTACTAGCTGCTTTTTTTGGGAAAGCGAAGATGAAGCTGGTGAAGTTGCTGCTGCAGAACGACAGCATTAGAGCGCTGGCGCTGAAGTTTTACGAGCCGGACTGCTTGGAAGACGAATTGCTGCAATGTGCAGAGACGATTACTCTCGCACTATACAAAGACAAAGAACAGTCATCTTCTCTCGGGACTTTCAGATACAATTTGTTTTCTACAAACTTAGCAAAGGCAAAAAAGGAAACGCCCCTAGAATGTCTTCCACCAACATCTCCTGCCTTGCTTCAGCACTGTAAACGAGTGTACTATAAAATCCAGGTGTGGCTTCAGCATAGATTAGATCCCTGCTTGTGGGGATGGACAAGACAGGGTAATATTCTCATTCCGATCATGTCTGAAGCAGATCCCGCACCAAAAGACCTGTTACAAGAGGTATGTGTGAAATGTATTCAATTTGAAGCAATAAATACAACTTGCTACAACTAATTTTTTACACTTTTGATCTCATGTAGGTACTCTCTGACCGGAATTAAAATAATTTTTGAACAATTAATGGTTTATACATAATGTCTTATCTCGATTAAAATATAAGGGAATAATGATTTTCCACAGCGAGTGTGCAGAGAAGATATCGTCAAATGCTCATCACCATCGGCCATTGTCTATTCTTTAGATATTTGCATTGGCGTAGGTCAGACCAACGTATAGACGCGGCTCAAGAACTGCAAAATCTCTTATCATGATCGTAGATTAACAACTACCGGTGATCAAATTGATTTGCGAGGATAATTATGAAAATAACGTGGAGCCTCGAAAACGAGTCTTTTGATGACTCATTGGGCTTCTACATCCTGTAATGTATTCTTATCATTGCCACTCATTTATATCCACGTTCACACCTTTTTTGCAGCTGTAGGTTTTTTATCGTTGTTCCAATTCTAAATGAAAATATTATACCTCACTTATCCAGTCAATCGGTAAGCGGCTGAAGAAAAATTACTGCATCTTGTACTCTAAACGCAGAAATTTCAAAAATGCATTAATATGCATAAGTCGGTGAACGCCAGAACTACAAACGAGCTTATTATTCGAAATCGACTGACCTACCACTGAGAGTGAGACACTGAGGACGTCCAAATAAAAGAGGATCGTTCCGCTTCAACGGTGCGGCGGCTGGTGATATGCGTACGCGCGTCCCTGTCCCCGCAAACCCCTCGCCAACAAGCCATCAGCAAGCTGTAGCGCGAAAACTAAGCAATTTACCAAAAAATTTGCAGAGACCTTTTTTGATGGCCCAAAAATTAGAAATGGAAATGGCGCAGACTATTTTGCTGCATTTTAGTTCTATTGAATAAAAGAAACAATTTCAGTGAGAATCGGTATCCAGTAAGTGTAATGCAATTTTCGATCCAGCCAGTCTGATTTTTGTTATTAATATCAGAACATAGTGCTAATGGAATTCCAAGACATGCTGAATTTTGGACAACATATACTGAATTTGGACACTACTTATTACTAAAAAATACGATACTAACATTGGAAAATGAAAACAAATTTCATTAAAAAAATCCATGGCGGATAACTTTTCGAATTTTAGGTTGGCTTTGTCCATAATTCCTTGTCTCCAATGAAATTACGGAAAAAATATTTAACTTCAATTTTAAAATGTACACATACTTACCTCACTTATCCAGTCAATCGACAAGCAATTGAAGAGAAATTACTCCACATACTTAAACGCGTAAACTTCGAAAATTAGTTCTTTCAAAAGTCGGTGAACGCCAAACTGACAACCGAGCTCAGAATTCGAAATTCAACTCTACTATTACTGAATAACCCCTACCATATAATAAGTGATCGTCTACGTCGTCAACGCGTGGGCAGTGCGGCGGCAGCTTGGTGGGATACAGGTACGCCGCCTCTGTCCCCGCAAACCCCTCGCCCACAAGCCATCAGCAAGCTGTAGCGCGAAAACTAAGCAATTTAGCGAAAAATTTGTGGAGACCTTTTTTGATGGCCCAAAAATTGGAAAAATTTACGTGTAAAAAAATCCCGGATATCCTCAGCCGTTTCAGCGAAAAAGAGGTTTTTCGGGTGTTTCGCAGTTTTACAAAAAACGGCTGGTTTCCGGAAAACCAAATTCATACAACAATATTCACAATCCTTTATTACACCATTACGCCAGCGGAAATAACATCGTGTCTCATGGGCGTAGCCAGGGAGTTCTCCAGGGTGGGGCAAGAAAACAAGGAAACTCAACTTAACATAAAAAATTTATTAAAAAAACATGTTGGGTTTATATATAAGTATTTTATTTTAGCATTAGTTTTCTACAATTCTTGCTAAACCTGGACAAAATTTCTTTTTCAAACTCATCCTTCGCGTTTAAAACTCTTTTTCGATGGACGCTCATCGTGCAAAGTCCAACAAGCCGATTTTCCAACATTGTTGATCATAACCAAGTTTTTACCCGACGTAAGGTGCTGAATGATCTTTCTATTGTGCAGGTAGTGCAAGGCTGCGCGAGTGAAATTTGGAGGGCTTTTTTAATGCCTGGGTAAAAAGATTGCGCCTCTTTAACTAGTTCAACTAGTTCAATCTCTTTTAACTCCGAGTCTGACTTCTTTTTTTCTTTCCACAGATTATACCATAGTTCCATTTCAGCCAAAATCTCGTTTAAGTTGTAGTAGTCACAAAAGACTTTAACTTTTTTTAAAAACTCAGCAAATGATGAAGAAAGAAATATACTAGGGTGTAATGAAAGCAACTCGTAGGCTGGCAGATTTTCATTAGAGAATCGCTGTCCTAAAGACATTATCAATGAATCCAGATACGGAATTATAAAAGATCTCGTCCAGTACTCAGTACCAGAAGCTGCTGGAGGATTTGCACGAAGCGTTTGTCGGTTTGTAACTCTCGGCATTTTAAAGTCCGTATTAATGTCTTCGGCTATTTTTTCGGCTTCTTTTAGTATGTATACGCTTTCGGCACTAACATTTTCCCGGTGTGTTTTTAAAAGGTCTGTAATTCTTTTTACATGATTCATACATTGTAATAAGTCTAAACTTTTTGACTGCAAAACATTCACAACTGGTTGCAATAATGCAGAATATTTTGCTATTAAGCAGACACTTACAATAAACTCGGAATTTGAAGCAGCACAATGCATTTGAAAAGCAGCTTTTCTCGTAGCTGCATTACCATCTGTTGAGAGCGTTTTTAAAGCAGCCACGATTTCTACATAATGCTCTCTAAAAATGGCGATGCTTCTGTATTTTTGAGACCAGCGGGTCTCACAGAACATCGGCACGTTTGGAACGAATTTTCGCCGAAGTGGGGATTCTCGGAAAAATCTTATTATTTCTTTTATTATGGCCACTGTATTTCGAATCATTGCTAACTGGTTTAAATCGTTCACCACTAAATTAAGTTTGTGACTAGCACAATGAAAATACAACCCCCGCATGTACTTTTCCCGGAGAATTTTTTGTACCCCGCCGTCCTTTCCAGCCATGGTGGAACATCCATCGTACCCTTGTCCGACGCACTTTTCAGGGTCAAGGCCTGCGTTGGCTAGGAAATTATCAATGGCGGAGGCTATAGAAATAGCATCCATGGCATTTAGTTCCACGAACCCCAGAAATTCTTCTCGAATCATCATAAGTTCTTCATCAAAAAACCTCACACCAATAGAAAGTTGTTCTTTTCCAGAAATATCGCTGCTTTCATCGGCTAGTATACTGTATGCGCATGCCTTCCTGATATCCATAATGATATCCTCTCTTATGACCTCACCACAAAGGTCAATAATTTCATTCTGAATTTGTGGTGACAGGTAGGTGGCATTTTTTGGGCCATTCTCCATGTGTGTTTTCAAGTTTTGGTCACCAGCTTCAATTTTAAGTTTAATCAGGTCTTGGAAAACTCCCTCGTGAAGTTCTTTGCCCCTTAAAGGCAAATCATGTGTCCCACAAAAAATGACGGTTGAAATTATTGATGCTAAAATCTTCTTATTCGCCTCTATTTCACTATTGTGAGCAGATATCAGCTGCACATCAACTGGTAACTTCTCATCGAAACATTTTGCAGCTGTAGCTGCTGATTTATGCCATTGAGATGATGTATGCGATTTGGCAAACTCGTGCATATCTTTATAGCGGGTAAACGGCCGCACTATAAATGAGCCTAGGACACCACGCACATTAGTAGGAGGAAAAAGTACACAATAAATGCACAAGGCGCCCTTTAACTTTTTTGAGTATGCAAGCCAAGGGGCATATTCAGATAGTCAGCAGAATTTAAATTTCCTCTTCAACTGAACAGCATCCTTGGAAAAGTCATAACTGGCAGGTGGAGACCAGCAGTTTTTCAAAACTTCTCTTCTTTGAACTGAAGTCATACTAAATGAACGTCCAACCCAGTTACCAAGGTCATTTTCATAATAGGATTCATCAAATGTTTTGCCGGATCCTGACGGTAGTGAAGATTGACTCGGTGTATCCAAAACGACTGGGGCGCTAGAGCCGCAAGAACTGACATTTTGTTTTGACTTTTCTTCCCCGCCGCTATCACTCCCGCTCTCGCCACTACTTTTATCTGTTTGCTTCCTTTTCTGACTACCTAAAAAATATCCAAGTATACACAAAAGGTACATATTGTATGCTCAGCCTGCGCCAAATTTATTCTCATTGCTACTATCACTAGCATAAGAATATCAACACCGACTGAACGGAAAACCACAAAACATCGGAAAACGGCTAGCCGAGTAAACTCGCCATCGCCATTCATAAACAAATCACTTATTTAATGATAAGTGATATGTAATGATAACTATATTCCCTTCTTACCCTTACCTAATAATAATTAGTAAGTATTCAAATTATTGCTTGCTTACCTTTGGAGCTAAAGAATTTTCTAATGTCCATTATTAAATAAACTTTTATCCACGGCTCACTGGCAAACTGCTTGAGACAAAAAATCTTCGAGTACACCTTAACTATGTACGAATATGCGTAACACAAATAATTAGGTAAACCAAAAATAAACATTACTAACAAACAAACCAAAATCTCAAAAAAACAGTGATGCTCAATGCTCAAATACAAAACAAAGCAAGCTTTACATTTGATTTCGCGAAATAAGTTAACCTTAAAGTGTGAACTGTCAACTGGTAGTGGCAAACAATTACGAATTCAAAGTGGTCCCTCGCTAAAAACGGGTTGGGAACCGCTGATCTAAAACCTAACAATACAATGGCAAATGGCAACTTAAATGGGAGCTATTGAAACTTGTTTCTATGCAACCAGATATACACTATTTTATTATAATTTCTTGCATTTAAACTGGGAGCGTTGCTTTTTTATTCATTAATTTTAACTTTTTAGGATGCGAAAATATCTGACATACCCAGTTAAGAGGTTTAGGAAGTAAGTAGGGTAGGATCATTTGAATTAATTTTTTTTTAGTTATATAATTCAATTTAATTTTTTTAATAGGGTCCGTCTAGGGGGGGGCAAGCGCCCCACCCTGCCCCACCTTGACTACGCCCATGTCGTGTCTATGTTAACACTTTTGTCTCAGTTTCGGCTATTTAACTGGACTACTAGACACGACGTGATAACTATACCAATATTTATATTATATCGAAATAAAAGCAGTAATCGAATCTATACCAGTTATCGTGTACACCAATTGGGTTATTTCTCCATCATAATAGGTACATACACCAATAATAATTATTATGATAATTTATACTATTTTAACTAAATACCTACTATCATCAAACTGAGATTTTATTTGTACGTTTGTACACGAAGCGTGCGCATCCCTTTGTGTCGGCAATGATGTCTGGTGTAATGCGACGTCATCACTCAGTCACACGCTCCAATAAGACAATTCTCCCAATAAGAAACTACTATGCAGCGTAAATGTGTCACTTTTTAAGATGTTCAAACATTTTTTTCAGCATCTTTTTTCACTTTACTTAGACTAGCACGTTCAGTATGTTTTAAAAAATAGTAAACTTCCCCATTATTTGAACAAGTACTGGAAGAAAAAAGTATGTAGGTCTATCCAAAAACATAATTAAACTATAGGTGTCTATCAAAGAAGCAACTCTGTTATCAAGGTCATTAGTCGAACGTCCTGTATAATCCGAAATAAATATTCATTAAATAAGAAATGTATTCCCAAAGTATGGTGTAGGATAATCTTGAACAGTTTCTAAAAAAGTGTATCTGAGCAATATTCCATCTATGCGGTGTGGGCCACCCTGTGCATGTGACAGAAGTGCAATCTTGATGAGCTCGTCATCAGGCATGATGATAAGAATGTAAATAGAAAAAACATTTATCGCATATCTGTACTGAAAAATGGCAAATTGCATAAATGCTTCTGTGAAGTCTTGTCGGTTATGACATCATCTACAACGATCTAACATATTCTTCACGACTTTTCCTCTAACCCTGTATAGTTAATATTGAATAATAGATAAATAGATTCTTGTAATGTATTCATCTGATAAAATGGCGCATCTATAAGAATTGTATTATACATGTATATTGATATGAATTCTCACGTAAAGTATGATTAGCGCAATGTATTTCAGTGCTTTCCAATATGTGTACCATGCAGTCGGGGCTTGGCGAGACTACTTATATTAGAGATTTTTTCGCGAGATCCCGTAGTGAACCGGAGCGGAAACAGATGGAATTTCCCCTTCCTCTCGAAGTTTTGACAGTTTCAAGTGACACCGGGAGTGGTTAAATGGCGCAAGTTGCACAAAATGTTTGCTTTAAGCTCCTTGATAAACATAGCTGCCTTGCTTGAATGTGAAATAAAAAGACCGATCGTTTTTGTGCAATGTACATATATATATTTGGCAAAACTTTTAGGCTTAAGTTGACTTTTTTGACGATAAAATCAAGCTTTCGGCATTCTCGATGGAGCCATCATCAGGATTCTGAAAACACAATTGTGATGCTAACAAAGAAGACAGATTTAAAATGTCGGACAACTTACTCGTCGGTGAGGTTGCAGCCACAAGGTGTTTCAGAAAGAACGTAGAGAAGATCGAACTTGTGTTCAGTATAAAAACAAAAGGACGGGGACATTGGGCTTGTTAAAAAACGACAGATACCTTCGTTAAAAGTTAAGAAAAAATAAAAATTATATCAATACACCCGAACAAGCCAAAAATATTACACGTAGGTAGACATTTTGTTGGAACAATCGGAATGCAGTCCCTAACCTTCTACTACCGCTACACGTGGAGAGGGGGAAAGGCACGGAACGGTAAAGCGTCGACAGAAGACAAGTGATTGACGCGACGGAACGTGCAAATGTACACCTCCCTGTCCAACTTTGGGTATGAAGTATACGAGGGACGCTCGGTAAATCTCCACCCAAAATTACTAAAATGCTGGAATAATTTGTTTTGGAAAAGAGTGTGTGGTTCATATGAGTGCAAGAATGTGTGATATTGATACAACCTTGAAAAGATGGGTTATGTGAGTTTATATTAAAATGTGAGTGAGAAAATGTATTCTAATTTTGTGAAGATGTTGGATCAATTTGGACATGTAGCCGTTCTAGCTTTTCGCAATTCAACAGGTAGGAATAAATGACACTGAGCTGCTTAACATCAGCCTTTTTATTCATGCAATGATCTGTCATGAAAATGTGGGACATTTCTAAAAATAGACGTTTCGAGAGTCTTTTTTCCTTATCAAGAACCTCAATACTGCCATAATTCATAGAGTGACCTGTGTTGTTAATATGCGACGCCAAAGCACATCTTTCTGGATGTAATCTGACATCACTTTTGTGTGACGTTATCCTGCCTTTCAGCGACCTAGAAGTTTGGCCTATATAAACTAAATTGCAGTTGTTGCAATTAATACGATAGACAGTATTGGTTGAATCAAGCAACTGAACCTTATCTTTCATTTTGGACAACAAACTGTTGACTGTGAGAACTGATTTACAAGCAAAACGACAATTAAAGGGATTATACAACCTGATCAATTTTGGTGTTAGTTCCTTGATGTATGGCAAGACAACATAGTTAACTCTGGAAATAGGAGCAACCGTGTTGTCATTTTCACTATTGTTATTAGTGATTGGCAAAATATGCAGAGGAGAGCTGAACAAGATTCTGTTAACCAAATACTTAGGATAGCCATTGTTGATAAATAAGACTGAAAGCTTCCTTAAATTGGAAAGATGGAAAGTACTGTCAGAGATTTTTATAACCCTGTTCTTCATTTGTTTCACCAGGTTTATTTTTATTTTAAGTTGATGGTAAGACCTGAAGTTCAGGAACCTTCCAGAAGAAATTGGTTTCCTGTACCAGTCTACCAGTAATAAATTGTCATTGGTACGAATCAATCTTGAATCCAAAAAGGGAACAGATTGATTGTCATCTTCTTTTCCGATGGTGAACTGGATGTAAGGATCATAACTGTTAAAAACCTTAGCAATATCATCCACCCTATCATAAGGAAGACAAATGATTATATCGTCCACATACTTTTTAATGAAAATTAGATTGTATGGCAATACTTGAATAACAACATCAAGCAGGTCATCCATTACATATTCTGAAAAAATTGGAGATAAAACAGAGCCCATGGGGCAGCCATGTGTTTGTGAAAACACTTTGTTATTAAAGGTAAAGTAATTGTTCTGAAAAAGGTACTCTACGATATTGATGAAAGAATCCAGAGTTAGGTTGCTGTGTTGGCAAATTAGATCCCAATGTTTGTTGATGGATCTGATGTAAGCTTCTAAATACAGATTGCTGAACAGTGAAACTACATCTAAACTCGCAATAACATGATCAGGGGATATTTGAAATCTATTAAATTGTTGACAAACATCAAAAGAGTCTTTTATAAAGTATTCTCCTTTGATGTGAGCTGACTTTAGAGTATCTGCAATTAAGGAAGATAAAGCTAGTGTGGCTGATTCAACAGAAGCTACAATCGGTCTTACTGACAGTACCGGTTTGTGTATTTTGGAAAGAGCATAAAATTTTGGAGAGACAGAATTATAAGTGATTAAGGACTTCTTTTGGTTTTGGTTGATTGATCATCAACTTAAAATAAAAATAAACCTGGTGAAACAAATGAAGAACAGGGTTATAAAAATCTCTGACAGTACTTTCCATCTTTCCAATTTAAGGAAGCTTTCAGTCTTATTTATCAACAATGGCTATCCTAAGTATTTGGTTAACAGAATCTTGTTCAGCTCTCCTCCGAATATTTTGCCAATCACTAATAACAATAGTGAACATGACAACACGGGTCAATCAAACCAGATACCCATTAATTCTTCAACTAATGAGAACAACAGAGTTAACTATGTTGTCTTGCCATACATCAAAGAACTAACACCAAAATTGATCAGGCTGTATAATCCCTTTAATTGTCGTTTTGCTTGTAAATCAGTTCTCACAGTCAACAGTTTGTTGTCCAAAATGAAAGATAAGGTTCAGTTGCTTGATTCAACCAATACTGTCTATCGTATTAATTGTAACAACTGCAATTTAGTTTATATAGGCCAAACTTCTAGGTTGCTGAAAGGCAGGATAACGTCACACAAAAGTGATGCCAGATTACATCCAGAAAGATGTGCTTTGGCGTCGCATATTAACAACACAGGTCACTCTATGAATTATGGCAGTATTGAGGTTCTTGATAAAGAAAAAAGACTCTCAAAACGTCTATTTTTAGAAATGTCCCACATTTTCATGACAGATCATTGCATGAATAAAAAGGCTGATGTTAAGAAGCTCAGTGTCATTTATTCCTACCTGTTGAATTGCGAAAAGCTAGAACGGCTACATGTCCAAATTGATCCAACATCTTCACAAAATTAGAATACATTTTCTCACTCACATTTTTAATATAAACTCACATAACCCATCTTTTCAAGGTTGTATCAATATCACACATTCTTGCACTCATATGAACCACACACTCTTTTCCAAAACAAGTTATTCCAGCATTTTAGTAATTTTAGGTGGAGATTTACCGAGCGTCCCTCGTATACTTCATACCCAAAGTTGGACAGGGAGGTGTACATTTGCACGTTCCGTCGCGTCAATCACTTGTGTTCTGTCGACGCTTTACCGTTCCGTGTCTTTCCCCCTCTCCACGTGTAGCGGTAGTAGAAGGTTAGGGATTGCATTCCGATTGTTTCAACAAAATGTCTCCCCACGTGTAATATGTTTAGCTTGTTCGGGTGTATTGATATAATTTTGATTTTTTCTTAACTTTTAACGAAGGTATCTGTCGTTTTTTAACAAGCCCAATGTCCCCGTCCTTTTGTTTTTATACAGAACACAAGTTCGATCTTCTCTACGTTCTTTCTGAAACACCTTGTGGCTGCAACCTCACCGACGAGTAAGTTGTCTGACATTTTAAATCTGTCTTCTTTGCTAGCATCACAATTGTGTTTTCAGAATCCTGATGATGGCTCCATAGAGAATGCCGAAAGCTTGATTTTATCGTCAAAAGAGTCAACTTAAGCCTAAAAGTTTTGCCAATTTCCCAATTAACAAGTAATTGTATTTTGTACACAACTAGTCGTTGGCTTTGGCAATGACTACTTCTCATATATATATATATATATATATATATATATATTTTGTATATATCAATAAAATCAATCCTTAGATATGACAATTGCGGTTCATATATCTTCGATGACCTTCTCCCTCGTCATTTAAAATCAGGTGGACGTGTTCCTCCATTTATGATTAAACAATTTAACTCAATTTTCGGCACTGCGAAGACAAATTTTCAACTGAGATGCCTGTTTTTTAAATGAAATTGACATAAGACCTGTCGCCCGCTAGTTCCTCACAGACGTTAGGCGGGTACCCGTACCACGTGATTTTTTGACAGTCGGACGACGTCACATCCGTCTTCCCCTATTCCCGTTCTTCGCGAAAATTTGAGTATCGGTTCTGGGTAGTGCACTGTGCTACACCGTGGACTCGCGAAAAAATCCTTATTAAGTCAATTTCAAACACTGCTGATATGTGAAAGAAAAAATAGAAGCCCGTATTTTCGCATGCTATCCCAGTGCTTCCGACGTGAAACAACATGACGTTTATGGCTATCGTAGTTGACACGTTGAAAACTATGGGAAATGCTGGTAAATCTTTTCTTTTTCTAAGAGAGCATTGACTACAAACTTAATTTGATAAACTCCAAATATCTTGAATATTGATATCAATTTCATTTTCCAAACCAAAAAAAGCACTAGGAACTGAACTGTATTTTTGACAAATTTTCTTGATAGGGATTCTAGATATGATCGCAGGGATCATTGATTGACGTATTCTATCTAAAGGTAGCCAACTATGTATTTCGGCGATATAAAAACTATCCGAGATGAAATGAGATATCGTAGCATCATCTATGAGAATTTGTCACAGCTAGATTTCTGTTCTCCGCAATAATTAGAAATCTATTTTTTTAAAGTTAATGTCTCGTAGATAATGCTCCAGCCAACTGTATGGTCAGACAGTTGGCTACAGCACTACTAGCCTTTTCAAAGTAGATTTCTAATTATTGCAGTGACAAATACTCATGGATGACGCGACGATATCTCATTTTATCTTGGATAATTTTTTGGACGTCGAAATACCGTACATGGTTGGCTATCTTTAGGTAGAACACGTTAATCAATGCAGGGACTAATATTTTAATTTTTGTAAATTCTAATATTTATGGAGCAATACAACGAAACTATATAAAGTCACATTATTTCGATAAATCATCAAAATCAGTAGTTTAATCGCCCCTACTTGAATTTGGATTATGAAGTTCTAAAAAATTATTTTAATTGCACAAAAAATATATACAGGTTAGATCATTCGAAAACTGGACAGTTGATAATAAAATTAAGTTGAAAAATGGATGGCAAGCTTTACATGGAAACTTTACTATATTAGTAACTATATTTGATATAATTACTATGTTAGTATGACCATACTGTTGCCTTGCTAATCAACGCAAGTATGTCCAGTTTTTAATTTTCTCAACTTGTAGAATGTTTGAATGTACATTGTGTGCAGTGAGTGACTAGCAGTTTCAAATAATGCACAAAAGGGTGTGTGGTCGCATGGGAATTGAAGATTGGCAGTTTTTTCTCAACCACTCGCGGAATTGTAGAGTGTTTGACAAAACTGTACTTTAAGGTAACTTTAAGGAATTGATTTTCATGACTATAAACGATGAAGATCTGAGTTGATATTTTTATATGTACAATTTTGTAGTCTTTGATGGTAGTTCCGTCCATTTTTGAAAAGTATAATTTTAGATACTCAATATAGTTAAATGAAGTAAAATCAGCAACCACTTCTTTCTCTCTCTTAATTTTGTTTTTTCGTTTCTATTATCTTTTACGTTTTGGCCAGTAATCACCTTTTGAATGTTTGAGGTCTTCAAGTACTAGGTAAGCAGAATACACTTTTACCTAAGGAAAAAAGCTCACAAATGGTAATTTCTCTTTTTGATGTCGAGCATATACAAGTATAGGGTTGCCATATTTGTTCAAATTAGATTTTAGATACTGAGTTTTAGAAAAAATTCAGAAATAGGTAATAAGTAGTGCTTACATAACCACCATCAAGACCACTCCCCGCCCATCCCCAAATAAGCAAGATCCCCCACTCCACTTTGGTGGATGTGTAATACTAGAATGACCCCTTTCATTATACTAAAAACAAAATATAGCCTGTTACCTATCCAAGTCCACAGACTTTTATACAGGGTGACTTTGAAGTTGAGTCATTAATTTTCAGATAATGATTGTAGAAGGAAGATAAACCAAAATATGTGTGTAAAAATAAAAAAAAAATAAAAAAAAAATTTTACCTTGTTTTATAAAGTATCCTCCCGACAAGTATTTCAGTGCGGACCTGTATTTGATCGTGAGGTCCCCTGTGAAGTCTTAAGTCACCTGATTCACGAGCCCGTTGTACTACAATAACAAAGGCACGAGGGGTTGGTTGCACTCGATTGGGAAACCGATCCGCATAAACATGTGCCATTTTTTATTTCGTTTGAGCCACGCAACAGACACTATTCACACGCGACTGACACTGATTGTATGTATAACTGAACTGAATGAAATAATTGTAAAAAACTCGTTCCAAATTCTTTCGCTTTTTTGTTTCCGATGCGATGAACCGATAAGGTGGATTATATCCGTTGTTGCCAAACACAAGCACATGACATTATTATTGAGACAGGGCGGTACTCAAACTTCCAAAGGGCTATAACTTTGTTACTTTAATTTTACCAGAAAAATGGTAAAGGAAAAAAACAATTCTTTTGATCAGATCTACTCACTGTTAAAATAAATGACTCAACTTCGAAGTCACCCTGTATATGTAAATGCACTGCGGCAGGCGCGCATCTCAACCTCAAAGTTCATAACTGTTGGCTTATCGGCTATCATTAAAGAACCCTATACGGTGTCCATATTCGACTTGTTGCTGAATTGAAGTGTATTAAAAAGTATAACATGTTGAGAGATTATTGAAGTGTGCTGATTTTCTTTAATATTTTTTATATATTGTTTTATTTCATAGCCACATTTTTGTATAAAATAAAAGGTAAAATTTTTTAAAAAGACTTTCATTAACATCCGCTTACCGTTCATGCGATACCCTTAATTAGTAGATAGGTACTTATTTCTCAAAAAAAAATAAGTGCACTAAGATGTCACAAGGCCGGCTTTACCCAAGTCGCAAAAATGTGTTGATTAGTGCAAAATATAGTACATTCGTTGACTCTTTTTCTCCTTTGAATGCCTTCAAATATGACACCTTAGCCGTGCATGAAAGATTTCACCATAAGCTAATAATTTATAACTTTTTTATTAAAAATCGACAGACATCCAGTAGACGGGTCGAATCGGCAACTATACAGGTAAGAGCTACTAAGCTTCTAATACATGGCTAAATAAATCATAAAATCCATGATGGTAACTCGAAAACCGTTGATTTTAAGAACATAATGCAATAAAGACTTAACATATTGGTATGCCACATCCTTTCACTATATAATATAGTGTTAGGGCCGATTTCACCAACATTATTATTATGGACCAATAGGAGAATACCTTATCGAAATGCATTTTGACATGCGTTCAATTAAGCATAATATACCAGTACAAACAATTCTACGTTGAGCTTGGTCTATACATACTATTGGTGGTCATACTGAATTATAATTTTTTTAGCAAAACAGTGCATGGAAACACGAGTCAAATTGACATAACTTTTGTTATTGTGGTTTTCCTGAACGGTGGTGTTACCTTGTTGTCGCTTTTCTGCCTCATAATACTGCCGAACTTTGATCCGATCCAATCGACTACTTATTCCTTTTCAGGTTCCCAAGATCACAACAATAAAAGCGAATTTGTGTCACGGTGTAAATAGGTAAAGTTGAGATTTAAAAACAATTACCAAATTCTATGTCCGCCAATAAAAAAAATGAGTTTCCAGATTTCCATCTGAATGTGGGATGTCTGGCAACCCTGGTGCATGAGCGGTAGTGCTACAGTCTAAACCAGCGTTACCACTCAACGATCAACGATTGTACACGTACCGGGTAGGGATACGGAAAACAGAGTAATCAAAGTAATCATTTCGTGCTCGGATTGGTACTCGTTACTTCGGGTATCTATGAGTAACGAGTACTCGAGTTTCGTATGATTACTCTTTCAACACCACTACCCAGTGGAGCAAACTCTGCCAACTGTCGAAATAAACTTTATTAATTCCAAGTCTTATTTTTGTTTTACTGTGCCTGCTTAGATATTCAAATACGGCCAGGAGTTATTAGCGCCTGACTATTTTAGGCCTTCAATAACTCCTTATTTTGTTTTTTCCGCGCATTCATGGTAGAAAGAAAAATATGTTATCGAATATCGATACCGTATACCGTGCAGCAGGCACGCCCATCACTACTTTGACAGATTGCAGAATGATGTCAAGGTGACAATCGTTATGTGTTTTTGTTTTTGTCTAAAATAGGCAAGTAGGCTTTGTGTATTCATTTTTATTTTTATAGCGTTTCCAGAATTTCATATTTCGAAACGATGTCAAGGGCCGGCAGGGGAAAATCTTTGTCTATCGTCGCCATCCCTATATTATCCCCACCAGCCACCAGTCAAAAACCTTAACCACCAATATTTTATCACAATTTATAATTCTTTTTAGCTCTTATTTTTCAGTAATTACTAATAATTTTAGGTCTATGTCTACAGTTACCTCGGAGATGTAGGGATTAACATGTTTTACACATATCGGTGTTTTAAGGCCGATTTACATTTCAACAAGTACAGTAGCGAGTTAACTTGCGTCATCGCCGAGTTAAGTTGTTTTTGTCATTTGAACGGCAAAAGCGAGTTAAGTTATAAGTTGTTAATTAAGTTGACTTGAATAGATCGTCATCCTATTTTTCGGCGAGTTCAGTGCGAAGTGGCCCCCTCCCTCGCGTCTCCCGCTTCCCGCACCCCCGCCAACTTAACTGGCGACGTGGACTGAAGGCCGATTTACATTTCAATAAGTACAGTAGCGAGTTAAGAAATCAGTCAGTTGAGTATTAAGTAATAAGTATTAAGTGGCGTCCAAACGTACGCGAGTTAAGTAGTCATAAGTTGTCGTTCCAAGTATAGGACTAGTCGCGCCTTCGGTTGTTTTTTTCCTTCGAAACGGGAAATCCAGAAAATGTACGTTGATTTATTTAATACCAATGTGCGTGCTATAATAAGAGAAATAGTATCAATACTTTTACAAGTTCTTGGCTGTATCTCGATCTGATACTTTTTATTTTAGAGATAGCCTCCTTCGGGCCGAAATCACTTATTTTCATGACCACACAAATTTTAATAATTGCCGCATCTCTAGCTAGTTTATTGCGGTAATTATTGCATTTTGTATTAAATAAACACTCATGTTTAAGGTATTCTTCAACAAATGCAAAGGTAGTATTATCATACCACTTCATTTTAACACGACAAAATAATAACACGTGGTCGCAGTGCGCAAACTTATGGACTGTACTAAACTCAGCCGTCTATACGTCAGCCAGTTAAGTTGGCGGGGGTGCGGGAGACGCGAGGGAGGGGGGCACTTCGCACTGAACTCGCCGAAAAATAGGATAACGATCTATTCAAGTCAACTTAATTAACAACTTATAACTTAACTCGCTTTTGCCGTTCAAATGACAATAACAACTTAACTCGGCGATGACGCAAGTTAACTCGCTACTGTACTTATTGAAATGTAAATCGGCCTTGACGTGTAGACGGCTGAGTTTAGTACAGTCCATAAGTTTGCGCACTGCGGCCGCGCGCGACCACGTGTTATTATTTTGTCGTGTTAAAATGAAGTGGTCTGATAATACTACCTTTGCATTTGTAGAAGAATACCTTAAACATGAGTGTTTATTTAATACAAAATGCAATAATTACCGCAATAAACTAGCTAGAGATGCGGCAATTATTAAAATTTGTGTGGTCATGAAAATAAGTGATTTAGGCCCGAAGGAGGCTATCTCTAAAATAAAAAGTATTAGATCGACATACAGCCAAGAACTTGTAAAAGTATTGATACTATTTCTCTTATTATAGCACGCACATTGGTATTAAATAAATCAACGTCCATTTTCTGGATTTCCCGTTTCGAAGGAGAAAAACAACCGAAGGCGCGACTAGTCCTATACTTGGAACGGCAACTTATGACTACTTAACTCGCGTACGTTTGGACGCCACTTAATACTTATTACTTAATACTCAACTGACTGATTTCTTAACTCGCTACTGTACTTATTGAAATGTAAATCGGCCTTAAGAGTGAGTCATCGCCTGTGAATCTGTGCGTGTTCCATGTTTTGGCCGCCATCATTATTTTATGTGAAAATCGCATTTATCCTCGTGCTGTACGCTTGATTTTCTTGTGTTTTTTAGACTTTTATTAAATTATGGTGAGACAAAAGTGTTTCTTTGTATAAGGTTGAGGCTGGAAAAGCAGGCAGTGAAGGGATATCTTTTCACAGGTAAGGTTATGCTTACGATTCTTCTCATTGGCGTGGAGCTCGTCATTTTCCGGATCCACTCCGTATGCTCCAAGCATTTTTTGCAACAAGATTTCAATACTGATCTAGTGGAAGAACTTGGCTAAAACCTGGTGCTGTTCCAAAGTCCATTTGGTCAGTTGTTTCCTCTCAATGGTAAGAATTTTATACACTCACAAAATGTTTTTTAGATTATTTTACCCAAGGCCACCTTACACTATGTAGATGGACCCACAGGAAGTTCAGGACCTGAGTCCAATGTGGCTTGAGCCCCCAGGTCAAAGCAAGATCAGGGAAAAAGAATTATTCAGACGTCTCTGAATTTTGGTTGATTTTTGAGCATTTGGGTACACTGACCAAGCTGTGGTTCTGGGCCTGGGCCTATAGATAAATAAACTTTATTTGTTGCATGTAATCACAGTGGTGACAAGTACACAATAAAATACAAATATACAATACAAATAAGCTTAAAATAAAGTAAATATCACAGATATGAGATGACATTAAAATTACTTTCCTCCAAACATTCTTGGACCTGATAATAGGCCTTGTCACAGAGCATAGTATGCAAGATTTTTTTGAAAGAGTTGAGAGGTATCTTATTCCAAATTTTGGTTATCAAGAATTTAACATTCCTCTGGAGTAGTCATGGTCATGTGGCTGAAGAACCGATCGATCGAGCGCGATCGAAAACGTTATAAAGGCAGCAGTGCACAAAATTTGTCATTTCAACATACAACCACGTCTTTTGGCTTTAAATGTGCGTAAATCAATGCGGTTTTCATGCAATATCGTTTATTTTATGTGTTTTTATGTGTCATTGAAGTCTAGCCCCCCTTCCCCAAAAACATCCCCAAAGTTGTGAGTAACGCGAAAAAGTTATTATTTCGTGAAAATTATAATGAAAAAATGCGGTTTTTGCGTTAATCGCATAAGACAAACATACCTCAAGTGTCCTTGACTGGACATGGCATTAACTCGTGGTTTACCTCCAAAAAAATATATACAGGGTGACTTTGAAGTTGAGTCATTAATTTTCAGATAATGATTGTAGAAGGAAGATAAACCAAAATATGTGTGTAAAAATAAAAAAAAAATAAAAAAAAATTTTTACCTTGTATTATAAAGTATCCTCCCGACAAGTATTTCAGTGCGGACCTGTATTTGATCGTGAGGTCCCCTGTGAGGTCTTAAGTCACCTGATTCACAAGCCCGTTGTACTACATTAACAAAGGCACGAGGGGTTGGTTGCACTCGATTGGGAAACCGATCCGCATAAACATGTGCCATTTTTTATTTCGTTTGAGCCACGCAACACATACAACTATTCACTGACACTAACTGTATACAAATGAATGAGATACCTGTAAAAACATCGTTCCAAATTCTTTCGCTTTTTTGTTTCCGATGCGATGAACCGATACGGCGGATTATATCCATTGTCGCCAAACACGACCACATAATATTGTTATTGAGACAGGGCGGTACTCAAACTTCCAAAGGGCTATAACTTTGTTACTTTAATTTTACCAGGAAAATGGTAAAGGAAAAAAACATTTCTTTTGATCAGATCTACTCACTGTTAAAATAAATGACTCAACTTCGAAGTCACCCTGTAGATATAAAAAATTATTATGTTGAATCAGATCGGAAACCCGTAATTGTTGAAAATCACCTTACGCCCAAAATTTTTCACTGATATCCGGTCAACTTAACGTGTTCTAACAGCCCATGATAGTCGATCGCTCGAGCGGGGTCCGGAACATACTTTTTCAGAGTTAGGGTGAGTTTACATGGCGTTCGCGCTAAAAAAATTATATTTCAAAAACATTGGCTTACGCCCAAATTTTTTTTGTGCGAATCGTGTTTATTTAACATGTTCTAACATCCCACCAAGCCGTTTCCCCCAGGGGGGTCCGGAACACCCCGATCCGCACTTAGATCAGAATTCGAAAAAACACCTGTCATTTTTCATAATCGCTTTACGCCCAAAATTTTTTCACTGATATCCGGTCAACTTAACGTGTTTTAACAGCCCATGATAGTCGATCGCTCGAGCGGGGTCCGGAACATACTTTTTCAGAGTTAGGGTGGGTTTATATGGCGTCCTCACGAAAAAAATATGTTTCAAAAAAATTGGCTTACGCCCAAAATTTTTTTGTGCGAATCGTGTTTATTTAACATGTTCTAACATCCCACCAAGCCGTTTCCCCCAGGGGGGTCCGGAACACCCCGATCCGCACTTCGATCAGAATTCGAAAAAACACCTGTCATTTTTCAAAATCGCTTTACGCCCAAAATTTTTTCACGGATATCCGGTAAACTTAACGTGTTCTAACAGCCCATGATAGTCGATCGCTCGAGCGGGGTCCGGAACATACTTTTTCAGAGTTAGGGTGAGTTTAGATGGCGTTCGCGCTAAAAAAATTATATTTAAAAAAAATTCGCTTACGCCCAAAATTTTTTTGTGCGAATCGTGTTTATTTAACATGTTCTAACATCCCACCAAGCCGTTTCCCCCAGGGGGGTTCGGAACACCCCGATCCGCACTTCGATCAGAATTCGAAAAAACACCTGTCATTTTTCAAATTCGCTTTACGCCCAAAATTTTTTCACTGATATCCGGTCTACTTAACGTGTTCTAACAGCCCATGATAGTCGATCGCTCGAGCGGGGTCCGGAACATACTTTTTCAGAGTTAGGGTGGGTTTATATGGCGTCCTCACGAAAAAAAAATATATTTCAAAAAAATTGGCTTACGCCCAAAATTTTTTTGTGCGAATCGTGTTTATTTAAAATGTTCTAACATCCCACCAAGCCGTTTCCCCTAGGGAGGTCCGGAACACCCCGATCCGCACTTCGATCAGAATTCGAAAAAACACCTGTCATTTTTCAAAATCGCTTTACGCCCAAAATTTTTTCACTGATATCCGGTCAACATAACGTGTTCTAACAGCCCATGATAGTCGATCGCTCGAGCGGGGTCCGGAACATACTTTTTCAGAGTTAGGGTGAGTTTACATGGCGTTCGCGCTAAAAAAATTATATTTAAAAAAAATTCGCTTACGCCCAAAATTTTTTTTGTGCGAATCGTGTTTATTTAACATGTTCTAACATCCCACCAAGCCGTTTCCCCCAGGGGGGTTCGGAACACCCCGATCCGCACTTCGATCAGAATTCGAAAAAACACCTGTCATTTTTCAAAATCGCTTTACGCCCAAAATTTTTTCACTGATATCCGGTCAACTTAACGTGTTCTAACAGCCCATGATAGTCGATCGCTCGAGCGGGGTCCGGAACATACTTTTTCAGAGTTAGGGTGGGTTTATATGGCGTCCTCACGAAAAAAAAATATATTTCAAAAAAATTGGCTTACGCCCAAAATTTTTTTGTGCGAATCGTGTTTATTTAAAATGTTCTAACATCCCACCAAGCCGTTTCCCCTAGGGAGGTCCGGAACACCCCGATCCGCACTTCGATCAGAATTCGAAAAAACACCTGTCATTTTTCAAAATCGCTTTACGCCCAAAATTTGTTCACTGATATCCGGTCAACTTAACGTGTTCTAACAGCCCATGATAGTCGATCGCTCGAGCGGGGTCCGGAACTTACTTTTTCAGAGTTAGGGTGGGTTTACATGGCGTTCGCGCTAAAAAAATTATATTTAAAAAAAATTGGCTTACGCCCAAAATTTTTTTGTGCGAATCGTGTTTATTTAACATGTTCTAACATCCCACCAAGCCGTTTCCCCCAGGGGGGTCCGGAACACCCCGATCCGCACTTCGATCAGATTTCGAAAAAACACCAGTCATTTTTCAAAATCGCTTTACGCCCAAAATTTTTTCACTGATATCCGGTCAACTTAACGTGTTCTAAAGCCCATGATAGTCGATCGCTCGAGCGGGGTCCGCAACATACTTTTTCAGAGTTAGGGTGGGTTTATATGGCGTCCTCACGAAAAAAAATATGTTTCAAAAAAATTGGCTTACGTCCAAAATTTTTTTGTGCGTATCGTCTTTATTTAACATGTTCTAACATCCCACCAAGCCGTTTCCCCTAGGGGGGTCCGGAACACCCCGATCCGCACTTCGATCAGAATTCGAAAAAACACCTGTCATTTTTCAAAATCGCTTTACGCCCAAAATTTTTTCACTGATATCCGGTCAACTTAACGTGTTCTAACAGCCCATGATAGTCAATCGCTCGAGTGGGGTCCGGAACATACTTTTTCAGAGTTAGGGCGAGTTTACATGGCGTTCGCGCAAAAAAAATTATATTAAAAAAAAATTGGCTTACGCCCAAATTTTTTTTGTACGAATCGTGTATATTTAACATGTTCTAACATCCCACCAAGCCGTTTCCCCTAAGGGGTCCGGAACACCCCGATCCGCACTTCGATCAGAATTCGAAAAAACACCTGTCATTTTTCAAAATCGCTTTACGCCCAAAATTTTTTCACTGATATCCGGTCAACTTAACGTGTTCTAACAGCCCATGATAGTCAATCGCTCGAGCGGGGTCCGGAACATACTTTTTCAGAGTTAGGGCGAGTTTACATGGCGTTCGCGCAAAAAAAATTATATTTAAAAAAAATTGGCTTACGCCCAAAATTTTTTTGTACGAATCGTGTTTATTTAACATGTTCTAACATCCCACCAAGCCGTTTCCCCCAGGGAGGTCCGGAACACCCCGATCCGCACTTAGATCAGAATTCGAAAAAACACCTGTCATTTTTCAAAATCGCTTTACGCCCAAAATTTTTTCACTGATATCCGGTCAACTTAACGTGTTCTAATAGCCCATGATAGTCGATCGCTCGAGCGGGGTCCGGAACATACTTTTTCAGAGTTAGGGTGGGTTTACATGGCGTTCGCGCTAAAAAAATTATATTTCAAAAAATTTGGCTTACGCCCAAAATTTTTTTGTGTGAATCGTGTTTATTTAACATGTTCTAACATCCCACCAAGCCGTTTCCCCCGGGGGATCCGGAACACCCCGATCCGCACTTCGATTAGATTTCGAAAAAACACCAGTCATTTTTCAAAATCGCTTTACGCCCAAAATTTTTTCACTGATATCCGGTAAACTTAACGTGTTCTAACAGCCC